CTGACAGGAACAGATTGGCTTAGAAAAAAAATTCATTCAGGTTTTTTGATCATCAGAAATCAAACATTTGATCATCTAACCATCTTTATAAAATAAATTTATTCATTTTATTTTTATGTGGATGGGTGTTTTGCTTGTATACATGCATGTGCATATTTGCTTGCATGCATATCTATAATTATAATTTTTATTTAGTCAAAAGGGGATAAGATGAGAGCCGCATCCAGACTTTATGAATACATGGATTGGGCTGTCTCCAGAGTGTTTCTATCTATCCCTAGGCTTAGGCCTGGATGCTTCTAGCTGCCATACAATCTAAGCTTCTGCAAGCTTGAGCCTTTAAGGTTTCAGCTTCCAATCTTCATCTGCTAGCCTAGGCCTAGAATGTTTTTAGCCTCTGAGACTTCCTGCTAAATAAACTCATCCTTTCTAGTTTTTTCTGAACCCTGGCTGGCTGGTTCAACTTAGCTGTTCTGACTCAAAACTCCTCTCCAATGTGACTTATTCAAACGGGTTTCTCTCCACTTCTCACCGAATTGCTCTGCTTGGAAAAACTGCCCTCTGAACTCCACAAACTGAACTTCATGGACTCAGTTGTACTCAACTGAACTCTGCTGTACTGGCTCCACAAATTTTGCTGTATTTCTGTACTGTGCTCTTTCTCCTCACTCTTTCTGTGCTACTCTTAAATTGCTTCTCTTTCCTGTCTGCTCTTGTGAGAGTTGGGCATATCCAATCTCTGACTCATTCTGTCAAATCTTTCTCTGATTCATCACTTTGTCTGTTTCTCAATGAGATATCATTGTTTGGGCTTAAGGTGTGTGCTAAAGGAGTGTCTACATTCCAGTTGGAGGGATTAAAGGTTTGCTTGTCTATATTCTAGCCAGAGGGATTAAAGGGATTAAAGGAATTAAAGAAAGTTTTTGTATTTCAGCCAGATTATACAGACCTAGGTCTTTGGATGCGATCCTTTGCCATAGCAGCCATGTTCCTGGATTAAAAATTCTCTACATCCTCCCACTTCCTGTTTAAGCTAAAAATCATACATGGTTTGACTATTATAACAGAAACAAGTATCAATTACACACATGTAACAGTCTGAATGTTTTAAGGAAGATCTGGTGATGTGATGATCCTTCTTAACTTCAGTCCTGATCATCTGTCCTTCAACAAACATCCATTTCAGCTTCAAGGTTTTCTAGTCTGCCAGTCTGATGAATGATCTGTCCTTCTTCAGCTGGTTTGTTGAGCTGTCCCCATGCAGAGATATCAGCTTTCTGCATCATCTACATTACTGTCTTTCTGTGTCTTTTCCTTGAGTTGTGGCTTTCATATGGAAGGTTATATAACTCAGATTGGATCATTATCAATTTTTTATGGAAGTTATAGTCTTTCATCACCTGTGTAAATATAGGAAAAACCTCTTCCCCAATTGAACACATTCCCTGACTTCCATTCTGATGTTAAAACATATTTAAAGTATGCAGGTTGATCTAATTGAACAGGTTTTCTTTTCTACCATCCACTGTCTTTCAGCTAATCTTAGTCCCCCTTTCTGTTTATCAAGGTACAATTAGATCTTTATTAATCCACATGTAAGCGTTCACATTCCAGGCCCTACTCAATGCCAGTGAGCTGGGCTTCCTACCCATTTAAACACAGAAACAATCAAGTCATATAACTTAAGATGTCAATATACAATGTCGGTTAAGAAAGAATATTGATCTGAGCTCTCCACTGTTGAATTAGATCTCTTCCCCATAGGGTTATGGCTATATCTGCCACATAAGTTTAATCCTTCTATTTTACCTTCTGGTCCCACACATTTACTTTGTCTTATACTTTTTTTTTAACTTGGGATAATGTTCCAATATTAAAACTGTGTAGATGCCTTCTAAAAGGACCAATGTGGATTCCAAGATTCTATACCTTTTAATTTTAATTTTGATTTCTGATCATTGATAATATTTTGCCAAACACCTGTCTTCCTGTACTTCTGAATCCTCCTGTTCTTTCAATTAGAGCTGTTTTGCCTTTGACATATGGAAACAGTAAAAGCTGAACAACCCTAACTCTCACTTTAAACTGCATATTTTTCTTTACATAAACCATAATATCTCTCTCTCTCTCTCTCTCTCTCTCTCTCTCTCTCTCTCATTATTCTCTGTGATTCCTGGATATACAATGAAGCCTTGAGATGCTAGGCTACTTCTTCCTAATACCATTCCTGTCTAACACCTACTGTTCTAATACCATACTGTCTTTGGGGTTAGAGGTTCTTGAAACTCAGTGTGTATTTTCTAGCATTGAATTTTTGGTGATAGTGTGAGATTTTTAGTTATAGCTAAGTCTCGGGCACTGCTTCCTTCTGTAGCATGCATTAGGTCTCCAATACCAAGTTTGGATGATTTATTTCATTGCTGACAGGAAATGCCTGGCTGTTTTTTGTTGCTGAGGTACAAGCTAACCCCTTTAAGGAGTTCCCATATTTCTATGATTATCTGGCTTTTGTTCCTGGGTAACCTAAAAACCAGTGGAGGTGGTCGCTTTCTCCAGTTTCTTTAAGAGGTGGTGCTGTGGGTTCAATGGGCTGTGTATCTTGATCTTAAATTTCATTATGTACCATAGGCTCACAATTAAGCACTGCCTTTTTTTTTTTATTCCCTTTGTCTCTTGTCTCTCTAGCCTTTGTCTTATCATAGCTATTTTTTTCTTGTTGTACTATGGTTTTTTTCCTATCTCTTTTTGAGAGAAAATATAGAAAGATTTGCAATTGAATTTAGGGAGGGGCTTACTTCTGTGGTCAGAGCTGCAATAAATACTGCAGGGGCTTTTTCAAGTACTGTTTCTAACCCCTCAAGTCTTACTTTTGCTCTGAAGGGATCCGAAATGGAGTTTAAATTCAGGAAAAGTCCTTTCATATAATAAACATTTTTTTTTAATTCAGGAAAAGTCTGTTTATATAATAAACATTGTCTTTTGGGGTGGCTTACTGTTATTCACTGTCTCAGAGACTCCTACCTTGTTTCTTGCTGCTTTTATATCTGTGATTTGCTGTCTTAGAGGCTTCTGCATTGTTTTTTTGTTCTGGTCTTGGTTCTCGAGCATCTTCGGTGTCTCCGAAATTTCTCTAGGCATTCAGCCAAACTCAAAGAACTGATGTTTCCACTGGAGATGATTCCAGTAAGTTTCTTCTCTGAAACTTTCATCAGCTGTCTCCTGTCTCTTCTACACATGCCTGTTTACCAACTGCGAGCTTAGTGCCCATGAAGCCAGAAGAGGAAACTTAATCCACTGAAACTGAAGTTACTGATGGCTATGAGCTGCCATATGGGTGCTGAGAGCCTGACAAGGATCTTCTGGAATAGCAGCTAGTGATATTAGCCACTGAACTATCTTCTTAGCCCTTTTTTTTTTTTCATAAAATGACTCATACCACTTTACATCTACTTTGAATTCATTTATGTTAAAACAAATGAGCAAACAGACTACCTTTCTGATACAATTAATATCTTTCGAACAAATACTGTGTTTTTATAAAAATAATCTATCGTATACAATAAATCCTTAAGATATTACTTAAAATATACACACTATGGTGGTCTTTAGGAAAATAATAAATGCTGGAAAGTGTGTGGTCAAAAAAGAGGCCTTTTAAACACTTCCAGTTAGAGTATAAACAATCCATAAGTGATGCAAGTCGATATGGAGGGCCTTCAAAATTAAGAAATGGATCTTTTACATGATCAGTTACACCACCGCATGGAATTTACCCAAAAGATTCAAAAGTAATATATCACAGAGAAACTTGTATATCAATGTGTATTGCAGCACCATAGACAGGAGCTAAATTATGTAACCAAACTGGGTTTTCAGCAACAGATGAATGGCTAAGGAAAATGTGTTACAAACTTACAATGGAGGTTTTTATTATTATTATTATTATTATTATTATCATTATTTATTAGAATTTATTAACTTTGTATCCCAGCTGTAGTCCCCTCCCTCATCTCCTCTAGGTCTCATCGTCTGTCCTTCTTCCTACCCCTGTGTCCCTTCCCTAGTCCACTGATAGGGGAGGTCCTCCTCCCCTACTATTTGATTCTAACCTATCAGATCTCATCTGATTTACTGCCTGGATCCTCTTCCTCTATGGTCTAATAAGGCCACCTCACCAGGGGGAGGTGATCAAAGAGTAGGCAACCAAGTTCATGACTATGACTGCCCCTGTTCCCTTTACTAGGGAACTCACTTGGAGACTAAGCTGCCTATGGGCTACCTCTAAGCAGAGAGTTTAGGTTCTCTCCATGCATGGTCCTTGGTTGATTCATCAGTCTCTGCAGGCCTCCCTGGTTCCAGATTTTTTGACTCTGTCTGTCTCCTGGTAGAGCTCCTGTCCCATCCAGGTCTTTCTATCTCCCTTTTCTTTTATAAGATTCTGTGCATTCTACCCAAAGTTTAGCTATGAGACTCAGCATCTGCTTCGATACACTGCTGAATAGAGTCTTTCAAAAGCCCTCTGTGGAAGGCTCTTGTCCTCCAGACATTTTTTTCCTCCAGAAAGAATAAAAAAAATTAGAAAATCAATGTAACTGGAGATAAATGTATTTACTGAGTTATGCCAGCCTCAGAAATACAAATATCATGTCTTTTCTCATTTGGAGTTTCTAGATTTATGTAGATACAGATGTAGTAGTAAAACTGTCTTGATAAACAAAGTGTTTAATGAGGTGGGGAACATCTGAGGAACATCTGTGAGGGGCAACATATTCAACATATAATGTATACATATACAAAAGTTTAAAACATAAGTTACTTTTTGGTAAAACACTGGTGAAGGGGAAATTGGGAATAATGGGCAGGTTGGTGTGAGTGGGGAAAGGATTAGGAGGATAGGGCAAAGGAGAGATTGTTGAGGGAAATGACTAACTCTAAGAATGTTTGAACCTGGGCAGTTATGATGCATACCTGTAATCCCAGCAGTCATGAGGCAGGGGCAGGCAGGTCTCCATGAGTTCAAGGCCAGTCTTCACAGTTGAAAGTCTTCACAGGAAAGCCAGTGCTACCTTCTTTTGAAAAACTAAAAACAAAAAAAAAAAACCAAAACGAACCAACCAAACAACCAACCAAACAAAAAAAAAAAAAAAAAAAAAAAAAAAAAACGTTTGAAAAACCCATATGGAAAACTACTACTATTTTATAAACTTCAGTTGTTGGTAAGATGTATAGATGTGTTCAGGGGCTCTCAAAACAACACAGGCTATTGTAAGTTCTCTTATATGACCCACTAGAACTTGATAGTAAGACCATCTTGATGGAGACACTGCACACATTGCTCACAGGCCATGAAAAATCAAATTGGTTGCCTCCCTTTTCCTTGCAGACTTTTTCCCTGCTGACTATCTTTCACAGGCTGCTGAGGGTGGGGGACATCAATAGTCTTATCCAACTGAAACCCCTGTGAGTTGCAATAATAACCATCATAGAAGAAAGATATGCCTACGGGCACAAAGTGGCACCAGTGTTTGCACAGTTAACAACCGCTTTCCTATTGGTTTTAGTTACTGCATGAGAGGAAAAACATATTACACCCCTTGCCAAGAGCACATGCTTGGGGAGATCACAAGCTCCAGGAGTGAACCTACTGCTATCATTCTGTAAATGGACATCATACCAACATGTCCTCTAAATTTGTATCTCTGTCGTTGTACATTAGTGTAGCTCTCAGACCTCATCAGAGAAGTTGCTTTGTGCAGCGGGCAGTAGTTTTGCAGAAACTCTGAACTTCTGAAAATACGGAGAATAGCTGAATGTGGAGGGCTCATCCCACAAGTAGGACAACTATATTATACGCTCCCTCACCAAAGCTCAGGGACCACTGCAGAAGAGGGCATGGAATGACTGCAAGAGCCATAGGTTAGAGAGAACAGGAACAAAACAACATCTTCTGTACAAAGCAGGACTGGTGCACTTATGGACTTACAGCACGTGGCCTCCACATGGTCAGCTGGGAAATACTGTAACATGAACTAGGCAAGGTTTCATGTGTCCTCACCCCTAACTGAGGAGCTACGGCTGTGGGTTCTGAGGAAAGGAAAGTCAGTTTTCTTTAAGTGTGCGGATCCTGGTAGGTCAACCATGCTTCAGGCGGTGGTTCCACATCCAGAAGTCTGTGAACAGTACAGAATGAAGCCAATAGTTTATTAAACAAAAAAGGAAAATAACAAAACCAAACAGGACATTTAAGCGGTGAGACTAAAGAGTTGATGGTGGATCTGGGAGGAGTTAATGGGAGGAATAAAGGGTTAATATGATCAAAATACAGTGTAGGAAAGTCTAAAAGAAGTAATCAAAACGTTTTAAAATTAAAAAAACAAAGCAAAAACCCCAAACACTGCAGGGTTAATTTAATAGCAAAAGTTGGAAATAACCTGAATGTCTATCAAGAAGGAAATGGATTTTTAAAAATAAACAGTTTATTTTTATAGGTGTATATTATATAAGTTTAAATAAATAAAATAAGAATTTGTGAAAAATACTAAAATTTTTAACTTTTGATATAAAAGCAAGTCTCAAATGTTATGATTCTTTATGTATTAATATTAGAAAAACATTATTTAATTGTTCTCTTTTGTGATAATTTAAGGAATACATGACAAAGAATGATAAACTTTTAATTCAAGATGGTGATTATCTCTGGAGAAAAAATGGTTTTAGCGTTCAAATTCAAATAATGTAAGGAGCATGTACAATGTTAATTTGGCAGCATTAGGAGAATGATACATGAGTGTTAGTATGTGCTTTGCAGTTCATATATATATATATATATATATATATATATATATATATATATCACATTTTGTATTAAAAATAAGTGGAAATGTTCCAAGTGATTAAATTTAAATTTAATACTTGGATTAGGTTATAAACACAAAGTAATTGTAGTTTATCACAACCTCAAACAAATGAATTTATTAAACAAATGTGAGTATAACTCAAATTTTAGAATTTAGAATCATACATTTTAATCATTTTGCAACAATTACCCTGGGAATTTACTTATACAAGCTAGTTATTTGTTCTATTTCTTCTCTTAAACACCAATAAAACCAAGAGTAAGAATTTTTTTAAAAATAATAACAGCATGTGAGGGAAAGGCATGAAAAAATCTGAACAAATGTTGACTAATGGGCAACCAATGAAGTGTTTACCAATTAACTGGAACTGAACAAAACACAATCTGGGATGCATGTGTTTGGGGCTGCTACCAAGATAAAACAGGTTGCTTGATGGAAAGCCAAAAGATGATCTAACCAAACATCAATACTTGGTAAGAGAGAAAAAGGGAGTCTGGGAGCAGGCAAGGCTCATGCTGAGGGAGCTTTCCTCTTGGGCCACCAATTCCTAATCCCAAAGAGGGCATTAATCTCTCCAAAGTAGATCCTATGAAATGCAGAGCTCATTGCAGATCCTGCTTTCTCTCAGTTTGACCTTCTCTTGCCTCGTTTTTAAATATAAACCAATAACCATGGGTCATCTGGCATTTAAAGGAGAACTTGCAACATAAAAGAAGCAGAAAAATACAGACACTGGCATGAAGTGAAGAAATAATTCAAAGTGAGTACTGTGTTAACCGGTATTTTTATTAAAATGGATTCAAAAAGAAGAATATGCTCTGTGTCTACGTTAGGATCTAGCTGCAAATTTTATTTTGGTCTCCCATTGGTACACTAAACTTTATTCTTCTTTGATCGGTGCATGTGTGCTGAACACTCGTTCTCCAATCTTGGGAAAATCAGTTCTGTCTCAGGACACATGGACTAAATGGAAAGAGTTGGCCCCATGAAGATCACTCAGTACAATGTCGCACACTCATCCAGGAGTGTATATAGTAGATATTTCATAAATGTTTTCCCTCTTCCACCACCCCCCAAAATAGTAAAAATGGTGGGCAATCCCTTCTCTTGCACACAGTAGATATATTTTTTTGTCATTAATCATTTCACTTTCAAATTTTACTATTTGATTTTGGATAAAAGGAAAACTGACATCTTTTCTGATCACTCTCTCTTTCTCTCTGTGTGTGTGTGTGTGTGTTTTTAACTATCAGCTTTTTTAAGTGTGTATGTGCATGAGGCTTCACGGGTATATGTGCACTACGTGCAAGCAGGAGCCTACAGAGAACAGAAGAGGCATCAGAGCCCTTGAGACTAGAATTGCAGGGGGTTGGGAGCTGCCTTCTTTGGTTATTGGGGAAGCAAACCTGAATGCTCTAGATTAGTGGTCAATGGGTCTATCCTGATGTGTCTATCCTTTCACAGGGGTCGCCTAAAACCCTCAGAAAACAGATACATTACATTTCAGAACAGTAGCAAAATTACAGTTATGAGGTAGCAATGAAAATAACTTTACGGTCGGGGTCACCACAACATGAGGCGCTGTAGTGAAGGGCCCCAGCATGAGGAGAGTTGAGAACCGCTGACTAGCTAATGACATGTGTACGTGGTAGAGATTTAATGCTTGCTTAAAACCACTGACCTGTCTCTTCAGTTTCCTTTCTGACCTTTTCAAATGAAAATAATTTTTTTCCTTCATAATTGTCTAACTTGGGCAAAATGTGATACAAGTACTTGCTCATTGTACATTTTTCATATTTTGTTAGTATGTACCATTCAAAAAGTATTTTGAATTTTATCTTCTAGCATCATAAGTTGTGGCTGATCCATATGCTTCCACAATCACATCATATCTATGTCTCTAGATATTCAGACATACAAGCAGTTCATAGAAATATTGGAGAGTTTAAAAGATTGAAGAAGGGAGAAAGTGAAATAAACTGAACTTGAGGAATTTGCAAGTATATTTTATTTTAGAATCCATAGAAAACTTTCTGTGAACACATCCATCACAAACTATCTCCCTTCTACCTTAATCAATACCGAACTCCTCGTAAAAGACATTTCAGACTGTTGCTAAGAACTATCAGTTTTACTCTGGAATCTGCCATTGGTTGATAAGATGAAGAATATTGGCTGAATTTTATTCTAGATTCCATTTATGCACCTAATTTAAATTACTAAAGTATCTATGAGTTTAAAATGCAAATTATATAGGAGAATTCAGTGAGCCGCGTCAGGGGCAGATCCACAAACATGAACTAAAGGATTTTGTTGGCATTTTACTAAATTCCTTGTGCTCATTTCCGTTGAACCACCTGGGTTTCTCTCACATACGTTTAGCTAGGATAAACTTTGACTGGAACTCTTCACAGGCATCCTTTTTTCAGTTCTATAACCCAGAACCTCTGTCTGTCTTCCTGGATCCCACTAAGCTTCTTGTTGCACATTCCATGAGTTTTGGATTCCAGTGCCGTCTTCATATCCTGCTCATTCAAGGCTATCATGATTCGGCTTTGCCTTCTATTACTTGCATTAGTTATCAACAGTAAATGATGGCTTTACAGTCATCATCCAGCAAAAAACACTCTTTCATTTTACAAGGAGTGCTATATCATGATGGAAATAAATTTGCCTCTAACAAGGACACTTGGAGTTGTAACTCAGTGAGACTTTTGGGGGGCTGGTTAGGAGCGATTTGGAGAATATGTACAAAAAAATGGCAACTTATGTTTGTCTAGAGCCTATCCAACTGTAAGAAAACATGAATTTTTCAGTCAATGAGTATTCATTGCAGAACTACAAATCCTGACTGAGCATTTCATTACTACCCTCAGCCTATTAACTTTGCATCATTGTTATTCTCATCTATACTCTGGGATTTGCTGTTTGTATTAGACTGACTTTTCCTTCCCTTTGGAGGGGGTGGGGATGGATGTCTAAATGAATAGAAGAAAAGCTATACCTCGGCAGGCATGACTGAGCTTCAGGATTGTGTCTGTGACTGGAGAGAGAATATGCTTGAAGGTATTTCAGTCCATAGCTCTCACAGAGATCTTCCCACATGGCTTGCTTAGCTTTTACTTTCATTTTGCACTAAGCAAAAACTCATTTGAGGGCTATTTAATGCTCTGGTTTGTGCTCTCTAATACCAGATAAAAGTTAAACAGATGAACCATTTGGGGGGTAAGAACTGGGAAATTCACGGCTGCTAAAATGCTTTAAAGTTCCAAAATGGTTTTGTTTTTTAAACCCATTTTCCATGTTCTAGCAGCTGTGGGTTTTCCCAGGGCTCCCCCTGTGGCTCAAAAGGGAGCTGCTTAATGCTTAACAGATGAGCCAATTGAGTTTTTAAATGCAAAATTAAACTTAAAGTGCACAAAGAGCACAGGGGAATCCACAACCAAGAATAGACTGGAGAATGATAGGGAGCTGCAAGCAGTGGACTGTGGGGGACACAGCCGTTGAGAGCGTGGTATGAGCACATTTATTTTTTAATCATCTCTTGAACTGGTTGCAATTACATTCCACGTTGCCAATAGTTTTTTCTTTTATTTTTATTTCTTTTATTTTTTTTACAGCCATTACGTTTTGATTTATTTATATGTGTCTTTTTTTATATATATAAAACCAAATATAGAAAAAATAAACGGAGAGCCTTTGCAGAAGAACGATGTGTTCTGAACTCCATTATGTTGGTCTTAGCCATCAGTGATGAGTTAAAGGTAAGGGAGATGGTTTGGTTGATAACGTGCTTTCTATACAAAGAAATGGGCCTGAATTTGAAACTGTAGCACCAGCAAAACATGCGGACGTGTCTGCAATCCAGCACTTGGAAAGCAGAAGTAGGAAGGTCCCTGGGGTTGTTGGCCAGCCAGGCTATCTCAACTGGTATGCTCTAGGTTCAATAAAAGATCCATCTCAAAATATACTGTGGAGACAGAGCCCTTGAGGATAGGGCACCATGCTAACAATCCAAAGCCCACATAAATACATGCGTGCCTGCACCCCTCCGCCAACAGCCGTAATAACAAGAAAACCGAGAAGTGGTGAAGTAATTTGGTTCACACCTACGCCAAAAACAAAACATAGAAACAACAAAACCAGAGATGATAAAAAAATTCATACCCACACCCACACCCCCCCCGAACAGAGACACAAAGAGAGAGAGAGAGAGAGAGAGAGAGAGAGAGAGAGAGAGAGAGGTTGTAGAACAATTTAGTTCCTTCAGTAATTTGTGTCTTCCCTTGTCATTCGATTTTCTTCCTTCTTGTACTTGAAACACTCTTAACAGATCTAGGTTCTCAGAGCATTCTGTTTTATGTTTTTAATTTATTATTATTATCATTTATTACAAGTTATTCAACTTGTATCCCGGCTGTGTCCCCCTCCCTGGTCTTCTCCCAATCCCACCCCCTCCCTCATCTCCTCCTATGCCCCTCCCTCAGTCCAATGATAGGTGAGGTCTTCCTCCCCTTCCATCTGACCCTAGCCTCTCAGGGCTCATCAGGACTGGCTGCATTGTCTTCCTCTGTGGCTTCGCAAGGCTGCACCCTCCAGGGGAAGGTGATCAGAAAGCCTGTCACTGAGTTCGTGCCAGAGACAGCCCCTGCTCCCTTTAAAAGGAGGAATGAGGGCTACTGTGGAAGTCGTTCCCAGCACTGGTGTGAGTGAGGTGCTTCAAAACCAGCTGTAACCCTAGCTCCAGGGTATCAGATACCTTCTTTTAACTTCTGTGGGCACCTTCATCTTCTGCATATGTCCCCTTCCCCATCCTGCCCCACTTTATTAAAAATAAAATAAGTTTAAAAAAAAAGGTTCAGACAAAAGTTTGGACCAACATGGTTAATGGCTTTTTGTGGTTCAAAGCAAATCTGTTTGCATTTGGGAAGAAAAATTGTCCTTGTAAACACCTAAGTGCTGTTATCTTCATAGATTCCCGATATCATCCAGTCTAAAATGTCACAGTATAATTTCCTTCACTGTGGATGATAGCATGAACTGTTATTTTTCAAATCAAGAGAATCTTCTTGGGAGCCTGTATTCTTATTTCAACAGGTGTACAGCTCAGCCAGCTAGGCTCCCAGGGCTCATAAATACCACTAGGTTTATGGGAAAATATGTACCCGAAGCATGATAGACCCCTTGTCTGTTGCATCTTAGTTGTCTTGAGGCATAATTTGTATGGTAAGAAAGCATGCTGAAAAAATGGACAAAGAATATTTCCACTGGAAAACTTCCCTGGTTTAGATGCTACATTTCTTAAGGGTTTGTTGTTGTTGTTGTTTTTGCTTTTATTTTGTGTTTTGAGTTTGAAAAACAGTAAAAATCCTGAAAAAAAAGGTAAGAAAAGGAGGCTGGAAATTTTTGCGTTCACACCTAGTCTGTAGTATCAAGCCCAACAGTAAGTAGTGACATCACAAAAGGGAGGTAACAGCGCTGCTGCTTAGACACACCTGTATCTGCACACACATGCTCTAGGGTTGTATGTCCAACTACACATATCACTCTCTAGGCAATCTGGTATCTCTCTTCTTTTCTAAGTCAATCATTTCAAGCTTGAAAATTATCATGATGCAGTCCCAGTCTGAAAGAATGGAATGGGTTACTAACTCCCAAATAAATAAATAAGCCGTTAGATCAGCCTGAGTATTCCGATGCGGTCTCCACCTTCATTCTACCACCGGTCAACTCTTCCTTTTCAACGGAATGCCTATTTCCTCTTGGCTATTTAAAGTTGAAGCATTGAAATAACAACTTTAAAGAGTGGGTTGGAGATCCATATTCCTAGTCTGCATTTGTAGCTGTGTTGTATAGACCTCTTAGAGAGCGGAGGCTACTTGAGGCTCTGACTAAATTTAGTGTTGTCGGTTTGTTTAAGGAAGAGGCTGGGCTTCCTTTCTGTGAAAAGAATTAGATAGGGTTGATTGCTTTGGTATCAACCTAGTTGTCATGGTTAAAGACTCTGTGTGTTCAAGGACAAGCAGAACTGCCCAACTCTAAGGCACATCTTGGGAATGCAGCCCTATCTGTGCCTTTAGAAAACATGCTGACCTATGGCCATATTTCCCCATGTTGGGGATCAGTTAGTCATTATGTGATATTCAAGGAAACTAGGCTAAGTTGAATATGTAACCCTTGGATGGTATATCCATTCACATGTAACCTCTTTGAAAGGATGGTCATCTGAATAGAGATATAAACAAGAACTTACTCTAACTTATGTTAGAGTATATTATAATATAAGCATATTATGTGCTTGGATCTAAATCTAATCTAAACTTACTCCCACAGGAGTTTATACCTGTTATGTTATGGTGGCCCTATTCTTTTCTTGTGTGCTTTTTCATGGACAAAAGGTGTTCTTTCTAAGTAAAATGTGTGACTATCTTTTTCTAGTTCTATATTTGCCTATTTTTCATAGGATTTAGTTAGCAACATTTATAACACATTGACTTATACTTGGAAAACACATGTACCTATGTACTTGTAAAATTATTCCTTAATTGAATTTAATACACGAATCCTTTTAAACCCTTTGCTTAAGCATTCGTCTCACAGCTTATAGAATTAAAATAATTATATTTTTCTCCTCTGATGGCTGTCAGCTTAACTCAGTTTTTACTAGGAGATTCTAAATCATTGATCAAGGAGAGTAGTATCATTATCTTTTTAAATTACTCAACATAGGTTTGGGGGTTTTCACAAGTGAAGGCTAACATGCATTGGTGCAAAAAGAAACAGCTCTCCATGTTCCAGTAATTCAAACCGATCACTGTTTTGATGAGATTTTTAATATACTAACGGGAGCAACAGAACAGTCACTGATGATGAGTTCAAATTACTTGCATCTTATTTATCTTAAAAATTTGTCCCAGAATGTATTAAAACATCATAAGCAATAATGTATTTTGTCACTTATAGGAAAAAATGGAATTTTATTAATTTAATTATACTTACTGTTTCACTATGACACTGTAAAAATGGCCCTTGTGTATGTAAAAATATTTTTTTTTAAACCCTGGTTAAAAGTAGATGTAGTTGGTCAGAGTTACCATTTTAAGAAATATTAACAGAATCGTGCTCCTATTCTGATAAACTCCTCGTCACTTTGAATTTGTTTTCAGGATGGATCTCCGAGTGTCAACAGCAGGTGCTCATGTTGGAAGTTTGCAAGCCATGGTTGGCACATAAATCCTCTGTGGGGGAAGATATCATAAGAAAGGCTGATGTATAAAACGCTTACCTTCAGAAATAAGAGCTCTTCCCTATTAGGTCTGTTTTTGTCAATCATTCCTACCACTGTAAAAAATTGGTCCATAAAAAAATTAGATGTTAAAAACAGAATGAAAAGCAATAGATAAACAACAATCTCTATACTTCCCAGTGGGAAAAAAATGCAGATATTAAAATTACGGGACTCTGCTTCTTTTCTGTCTTAGACAATTGATTAAATTGTCACTGCTGGAGACTACATGGGGTTTTATTCCCTTTATGGCCATATTCAATTGGACAGACAGAAAAATATATTGCCACAGACGAGACCCACCACCTGGGTACACTGTGTTTCCAGTTGTCTGCAGAGATCTTGTCCAAAAATTTCCAGCCACCCTCTTTTTAAAAATTGTAAATATTAGAAGTGATTATTTACATCAGATATGCTACACAGTTCGAGTTTCAAACAAAATAAAAAGTCTACTTTTTATTAGTGATTATTCCTTAACAATTCCTGTGCAGTCTTTACCAGCACAGTACTTTTATGCCTAACATAAACATATTTCATTCATTTTGCATGAAACTTTCATTTTTAAAATATAAACTGGGCCAATATGATAGCTCGGCGGGTAAAGAAACTTATTTCACAAACCTGACAACCTATATTTGATCCCCCAAACTCAGGCAAAAGTGTAAAAGTTGTCCTCTGACCTTTTCATACATACTTTAGCGCACATACGCACATACACACTAATAAATTTAAGAATTAAAATAAAATCAATAAAAATTACAGATTACATATCTATCATCTACCAATTAACTATCTGCATCTATTTTTTAACCTTTTCCTTAGCTAGTAGATTATTTTATTTCCTGACTTACCCATTTAAGTTCAGAAACACCCTTGTACGAACACACACACACACACACACACACACACACACACACACACAGGCTTAAATAACCCCTTTGCCCAGCTATTTCTTCCATATGGACATATATCTTTCTTGTAAAAAGCAAAACAAAGCACAGAAACAGAAATGTTTACCTCTGCTCCTCATGGCTTGCCCCGGTTCTAAAAGGGTTTTCTCTGTCTGTCTCTGAGTACGGCTCGGTGACAGTATGGCCAGCTTGTCAGTGCACAGCAAGCTAAGCAGGAGGCTGCCTCCAGCTGCAGGTGCGGGGCTCAGAGTTAGGGGTGCATGACAAGTTGGCTCATGGGCTATTCCTCCAATACAAAGGCACACAGACACAAACTCAGGGACATGTAGTAACTGGATGTTGCTACGTGTGGCTGCAGGACGCTGTTGAATTTTAAAGGGGAGGAAAGAGTAATAAAGAAAAATGGTAAGCAGCAGCTGGTCCCTCGCAACCTCTGAGTAGGAACCAGTGTGCCTGCCTTTCGACCCTGGTCACTCACTGCACATGCACCACTTTGTTTTAGGAGGGGAAGAATTCTCTCAGTGAATTTTAGAGGTCTTTATGAATGGCTGGAAATACTTGGTTTGGGCTGCCGGAAAATGATACCTATGTTTTTACTAGCAAAGACAGCTATTACAGCTCTTGGTTTCATCTTTATCTTTTCCGATTAGGTGGATGAGTAAACATCAAGTTTCTATCACGTCAAGATAAAGAAGTTTCGAAGTAAGTGAAGTAGTTTCTCCATTTTGAAAACAAAGACTCGTGTGTGCATACACACACACATACTCTCTCTCTCTCTTTCTCACCACTTATTGCTTAAATAAACATACTGTCTTAACTGGAAATTTTTAAAAAGTTTTCTAACTTGTGTGTCTTTTATTCTATCCAAGCATGTCTTTTTGCTGTCAACATGGAAAGTTCTACTGACTTAAACAATTGTGTTTTTAAATTGCCAAGTGTCTATTTGTGTTGTTGATTTTTTCCCCTGTCTTTCCCCATGTTTCTTTGTTTTTCCTTTTGTCTTCTCAAGACTTCCCAGAGATTTAGATTATTATATTGTTCTCTATGCATTATTCAATTGCTCTTTGACAAAAGTTCCATATTTAATCTAATTTACTTGAGGTTTTTTTTTTTTTCTTCATTTCCCCATAGTTTTATAATATAGCTTTTATGTATTTTTTTCATTCATTGGGTCATTTTGTTCTTGTATAAAAACATTATTCCCAAAATCAGAGTAGAATTATATGCAGGTTTTTTTGTTTGTTTGTTTGTTTTGTTTTTTTGTTTTTTCTTGGCTGCTGAGTGGCTTGCTTTATTTATTTATTTATTTATTTATTTATTTATTTACTTACTTACTTATTTAAATATTTTTGTCTCTGAGTTTACTCTCTTTCCCTGTTCTGTCATTTTTAATTATCTTCTCAGCTTTTGCACAGTCTTTCCTATTACAAACAGCCCCCGGTGTCTATTATACTAAAGTGTAACTGCCATTGAGTCAACACTTTGAGTAAGAACTGAATGCAAAATTTCTTTTATATCCTCCTGAGCTCTTAAAACATGCAGTGCTGAAAAGGTGGACGTTCTCGTTCTCCTTTGACACACAGGTGACACAGTCCCAGTGACTTAAGTCTTTGCTGAAAACCACAGAGTAAACAACTGTGATAAGTAAGGTTTGGCTCACAGATTTACTTAACCCAAATCACCTCCTCCTTCAGTGAAACTTCCTGAAGGCAAACAACAAACAAACATACAAAAACTGCACCAACTGGAATTTGGTGTGGACTGTGGTTGTAGATCAGTGGTGAAGTACTTGCTTAGCACACACAAGGCCCAAGGTTTGATTCTCAACAGAGGAAAGGAAAAAAAGAAGAAAAGAAAAAGTCATTTTGTCATGTATAGAAGAAAATATGCTCACCTGGTCCTTGTTAGACCTCACAAATATAAACTCATTTCATTATTTGAATGTGCTTTAACCAGAAATGATCAAATATTTGGTATCATTTATAAGTGTTAACTTGTGATTTAAAATTAAATTCTGGATCAATTTACTTAACTTCATCAAAACTTGACTAAAAGTAGGTCCATCCACCCCACCCCCTGCCTTTTTTTTTTTTTTTTTTTTAATACCACCAGTCTGTTGCTGTGGCTGTGAACACATGAAAACTGTAACATAAAATTCCTACTTGTATCAGAAATAGGCAATAGCCACAATGGAGCCTGGGGGTCTTCATTGTCTACAAAGCCCCAGAGCATTTATCGGGCTTCCCAGCAATGACATCAGTGATCAAATATGTTTTTACAGTTGTCAAACAGTGGATCAGAATTTAATCCCAGGCTACTGGCAGCTGCTTCCCCCATCCTTCCTGCCTGTGTTATATTTGCCTTCCGGGAGAGTAAGGAAAGTGTGTGTTCCCTTATGTTCTTCATTCCCATTTCTTGTTAGAGTGATGACAAGCAGGTGTAATTTTGCACGTTCTTTGTACCCAGTTTTTACTTGCAACTGCTTTCTTGTTTTTATTCTTACGATATATTTTTAAAATTTTTTAAATTACATCTATTGGTGTGTGTGTGTGTGTGTGTGTGTGTGTGTGTGTGTGTGTCTGTCTGTCTATGTATCTGGCAGAGGACATGCCTTTACCATAGGCATAAATGAGCGTGGGAGGACAACTTACGAGAATTTGTTTTCTCCTTCCACCACATGGGTCCCAGGTGAGCCATCCTGCTACCCCTTATTACACACACACACACACACACACACACACACACACTTAGCTTTAAGAAGCAGGCATTTACATTGCATTTTTACTAAAAGTCTTAAAAATTATCACAGCTATTGCCATGAAAAATGTATGTCTAGACTTTGGACAAGAGCTTAGCAGAATTCATTTTGACAGACAGCACTTAAAAGCTTTGCTTATGTTAAGTTTCAAATAATGCTTGTTCCCCACTCTCCTAAAGAATTACAGAAGAACAAAGTTAGCCACTTGGGTTTCTGAAACAGCTAGAGCACCTCATCACAGGACAGAATAACAATAATGCAGCTGTAAAGAGAAGAAATTTAAGAGGAAAGAAAACTTGACTTCAAATTTCAGTTCCATGCTTTCCAGCTGCATGTCTTGAGTAAATGCTCCTTCTCTGCTAAAGTTGCTTTTCCCTCAGGTGGAGATAATGATGCCACTTCAATGGTCCATTGTGAAAATGCAATCTAGTAATAGAATAAATTCAGGACAGAATTTGGTGTTTTACTAAGTCCAGCATGAATGGAAATTGTCAGCTGTATGACCATTATCACTATTATTAGCTGTATGTTTACTAATAATCAGTCTTTCGCTCCTTTCTTTGACACAGTGCTCTGAGCCATGGAAATCTTTGTGCACTTTATGAAGAACATTTGAAGCTCTAGCATTCTTTTTGTGATGATGTTATGGTCATTAATGACAACTCCCACAGCAACTTCAAGATCAAGGCCAAAACTGTCCTCAATGAAATGAACAGGATCCAGTTCTTCAACACACAGCAGTTGGACCTGACATCTATTTAGAAGTATTTATCACATGAAACATAGAACAGCTTTTTTTCCATGCTAAATACATGTTTTCCCATATTTTATTACTCTCATATAAATTGCCAGAGTCAAGTGTCCTACTAGGGACACAAACACTACCAACAAATTTCTGCTAAAATTAGGTAGACTGAACTCATTTATCTTGGCTGCTTAGTAAAAAAAACAAACACTCGCTAAAGATAACTTAATGCATGTGTTCATATACATAGTCATACCCTACTCATTTTATAAGCATTTATTACTTGCCTATACTTGCCTATACAAAAAAGAGAGGCCCTGCCCCAAAATAAGCTGCACAAAGGTGGGACCCATTTCTTTCTCTCTCTCTCACACATATATGTTTACATGTTTATATATATACATTACATATCCATATCTGTATTTTGCAATAGCATTGTGTGTGGTGGCTGAGAAGTATTTGTTCTGGTGTGAATAACAGAACGTTATTGCCTAGAGTCTAGAAATCAACTCATGAATCTATGTGCACAGGTCAAGAAGTAAGACCTACAAAAAGGTTCAAGAGACTAATCCAAGGTTGGTAAAAGCCTTGGACTCTGATGTCTAAGAAATTAAATTATGTTACTACAATATCAGAAGACCTGG